TAGGGGAGAATTATAAGGTGACACAGAAGGTCGAATAATCCCTTGTTCTTCTAAGGTTTTGCACTGTCTCTGGATCTCTTCTTGATGCTGCTTAGGGAACTTGTATTGTCGCTTATGAACTGGTTTCTCATCCACAGTACGAATTTTACATTTAAAGTGTTTAGCTTTCCCCAGCAAGTCCCCTGGCAAATGGAAAACATCATCGAAAGAGTGGATTAGGTCGATCACCTGTTCCTTTTCAAAGCGTTTGAGCTCCTGATCAGGTAGAGCTTCGATGACTTTCGCTGCTCTTTCGTGAAGTTCTGCGGATTCTTCTGCTGATATTGCTAGATTGCAAGTGGCGATGTGGTCATCAGGGGAATCCATCTTTTCTTCGAATAACTCTATCTGTTGAGGCGAGAGTTGCAGTTCTATCGGTTCTTCGGTAGTATTGATAGCAACAGCACAAGCTACTCCATTGACCACCGTGACGGCACTTTCACCTAAATATATCCCTTCTGGTGTTGCAACTCGAGGGAGGTATCCCACTTTCAGATCTTTGTTCTCTATAGGAACACCTACAACCATTCGCGTTCTAGCCGGGATCACCGTAGGCCCGTACGGTTGATTGTACTCATACCAGTAAATGGGAAGATTTGGTCTTTTTAGGGTGGTGAGCGTCCGTTGAAGGTACCTGATATCCACTTTTCCTTCGATCAGAAATTCCAGCCCCAGTAAACCCGATCCGTTCACGGGTAATTTGCTGTCGACGATGTGGAAAGGGACCTCGGTTCCTAGAATTCTCAATCGGATTAATCCACATGTTGGTAAAGCGTTTTCAGTTACCCCCGTTAGATATTGTACAATCGGTTGTTCGATCTTAGCGCCCGGCTTAATGGCATGCCTCTCAATGAGATTGATTTCCGCTCCTGTGTCTATCAGGAACCGATGTTGTGTCCCAATTAGATTTTTGACTCGAAGGTTTATCCGAGGTCCACCCCCAGTGAGAGAGATCCTGCATTCTCTTCTCCTTTCACGTTCTGGAAGGCACAGGTGTAGTGGTCTTAGCGGAGCGATACTGAAGGTAATAGTCATGGTATTGAAAGAAATATGGGCCTTCAAAGCGTTCAGCATGTTATCTCCGACAATCGCGCCGTAACCCCCAGGTGGATGGGTAATCACGTGGAACTTGACGTGAATTCTCGGATGGAGTGGTAACATGACTGTTCCAAGAGATGTCATCATGTTATTAGAGAGACCCACAATTTTGCAGGTTTCTTCGTCGTCAATCCAAACGCTCGGATCTAAGCTTTGTACATCAATAAGATTTATCGAGGCCCCCGTGTCAACTAAAGCGTTGATCCCTTTATTTTTCAAGTATGGCCCGATTATGCGAATTTGGGGACCTCTTTTGGGGCAACAGAGAACTGCCTCCTCTATTGGCGTCTTTGGTGAGTGCTTGTCAGGGTGTGGAATTGGTTCTGACCCTGGTCGCTCATCATCGCACCCGCGTGACGAGCCAGTTGCCCGTTTAAATTCTGCGTTGAGGCTCGAGGTGCTGGCGAAGGTCCTGATGCCGATTCTCTCGGATTCATCACAGTTCTCTGTTGAGAATTTCCTCGGGGACGTTCTCGGGAGCTTTCTCTGGTTGTATGAGGAGAGGTCCCTCGTTGCTTCTGATTCTGCATCCCAAGTAGCAAGCCTTGTAAGAGTTGTTTGATTTCGGTCAGGTCGTCACTTCTTTGTTCTTCTCTGGTTTCTCTCCTGAAGTCACTCCTGGAGATGTGTCCGTGGTCCTTAGGTGGGTATTGCGCCCCCGCTAAGATTGTAGCTAGTTGTTGGACCTGATCGATCTCAACTGTAATGTTTCCTTTTGAGTCGGCACCGTATGAGGTGTCGGGATCGATGGAAGGGAGTGCAGGTGGAAAATTCCAGTCTTCAGCACTCGAAGCCTCTGCGAATGCGATGTGGTTTCCCTCTCCGTGGATAGGTGCACGAACTCCTCGTCCTCTAGATGGGCCTGGTCCCTGCCATCCTCTCTGAGGACCAGAATTCTTTGGTGGTAGGTACTCGTTGAGAAGTGCAGCAACGAGATCCTTGTTCGTGGTTGGGGTCATTTGACCATAAGAGTTCTGGAACCCTGGATTGTAGAAGCCTCTCTGAGGTGTCGGTGTGAATGATGGAGAGCTATAACGTCCCTGGTACAGCTGATGAACAGGATATCTTGAATTTGGCTGTTGTTGGTGCACATTCAAGGAGTAGTTCCCGGTTGGGTTCGACCAACTGTTGTTGAATCCGACCGATGGATACTCTGTCACGTACAGATACTGGTTGTGGTTTGGTATCTCCGGTGTGGGTAGTGTCATCTTCGGGCGAAACTCTTCCGAGTCGACCAATTTCAATACATCAGCAATCTTTTTGGCTTTTTGGCGACGGATCGTATCTTTGATGGCTGGCGTCGAATACTCTTTGAACCTTGTAAGGGCCTCTGCATTCAAGTATTCTTCCAGGGCTTCTTTCTTGGCAGCTCCCTCACTTTCAAGTGTTCTCAACCCAAATTGAACCAAAGCTGCCAATCTCTCCAGATAACATTCTAGGGGTTCATTTGCATATTTGCATAGACCACGAACTTGATTGACATAATAAGTAAAATCATATTGACCTCGAAATCTTTTGACAAGGATTTTAAGGATGTCTTCTACAGACTTCAAGGTTTTGTTTGCGACTGCAAATTTCGCAGGGGGCAGGAGGCGTTTTAGAATTTGGAGGATGTACTCTTCTTTCTTACCATCCTCAGTTGGAATTGATAGTAAATTTGCTCTAAGGGCGTATTCGAAATCATCCAGGGAAGCATGCTGAGAAGTTCCAGAAAAAATCGGTATACTGTTGGCAATATCCCGAGCTTTAATGTAATCTTCATGGTTTCCAGCAAACTGTCCCGTCGTGCTTGAGTCACCCGTATAGGTTATGTTTACAGAATTATTCATTGTGAAATAATTCTGTAAAAGATCGGGGAATACTTCCGAGAGGAGAATGGTGAATAGTTAGCCCGACAAGAAAAAGAATTGAAGGGTTACTGACAATTAAAACTAGATGTTTGAAACCAAAAAAAACAAAAATTGGAATGCAATGATCACAGGGATTGAAATTTTTGTTTGTTTCGCTATGAGTGCGTAAAGATTCAAAAGAAAAAACAAATAGCTACAGGCTGTAAGAACGAATGGAATGGAAGCCTATGCGTGTCCTACCGACTGCGCCATTAAATTCTAGCTGTTATGTCCGGAGGCGTTTCAGTGTCGGAGGACACCTTTAAAGTGCGGAGAATAGGAGCTAGAATCTTTAGTATAACAATATGACAAGCTAAAGTTGCAATGCAGAATGGAGCTAAATATTCTTATATTTTTGGAGATTATTTTTACACGACGCTAGGTTTGCTTTTTCGTTCTTACCTGGTTGAAAACTATAGATCAAAGATGAGGAATGAGGGAGGAAGTTTAGGATGATGGACTCTAAAGATTTCGAGTTACGGTTAAAGTAGATATTAATTTTTATATTCTCGATTAATTACAATTGGAATTCCTCTTGATCATACTAGATTTACTTGCAAATAAAAATAATTAATTAATGGAATGGAAATCCCTAGAGAGTTCCTGAGAAACTTTGTAGGTTGATCTATTTGGGTTTCAGAATTTTGGAGAGTATTTTCTTGTAACTCACAAAGGTTAATGTTGTTTAGAATTATTCCTTGAGTTCCCAGTTGCGGATCCTTCGGGGATACAATCTTCCTTCTCCACCAGAATCGGAGTTTCTTTGATTCTTTTATGGATACTTCTTATCGCATCGCGTTCATCCACTTGCTTAATGTTAATTTTCACAGATTTTCAGTTATTGTTTTTGGTTGAGAATGCTCACACACACAGCACTGCTTGACCAGTCCTCTTAATATGCAAGAAATATTGCTACTTTTGATTAAAGGACTCCATGTCCCTGTTCAATTTCGACCGTTTGGCTATTACTGTTTCGAATAGTTTACCGCGCACTATACCGATTAATTTTCGCGTGATAGTATGGGAGGTCCGAAATGATCTGATCAATTCCGCAATTGATTTCCACCAAGTCAAGTCAAACGTTCTGCGGTTGGTTGCAAAACTGGCTTCCTCGCTCTTCTTTCCAGAGCGCGTTGGTTTTTGGGAGTGGCAGAACTCTCACCTGATTGGTGGAGATCATCGCGTGATATTCCTACTCTTTATTAACGGGGGGTAGAAACTGTCATTTCAGCGGTTTTGGCAGCGCGTGATTCTTTTGCTGCTGATTCATTGTCCGGTTGGCGTCAATCCGTGACCATGAACAGGGCGTTCAACGGTGTTTTGTCTCGCGCGCTGCTGATGTTACAGTTTTGAGCTTATGGCTCACGGAGTTTGGCTTTATTAATATAGAATGATCGTGTCAAAACCGATCTTGTAGAGGTTTTGGACATCACACTAGAAAATTCTACTGGATGTCTCTAGAAATTCTATGGGGTTTCTATAGGATTTCTATTGGAATTCTATTGAAAAATTCTATTTGTTTTTTTACGCTGATTCTATTGGATATTCGATAAGAAAAAGTCATTAAATTCCGAATTTCTGTTTGGAATTTTCTCTTGAAATTTTTTCTATAAGAATGCTTGGTCATCAATTTTGTTTTTTCCACTCGGATTCTGTAATAGAAAATAAAACAAAATTCATTAGAAAAAACTTAAAAAATTTGTGCCCACAAATTTCTAATAGAAATAATCTCAAGAGAAAAATTCCAATAGAAATTCGAAATCTATTGACTTTTTCTTCGCGAATATCTAATAGAAGCAGCGCAAAAAACGAATAAAATTTTTCAAAAGAATTCCAACAGAAATTCTATGGAAACCCCCATAGAATTCTTATAGAATTCCAATAGATTTTTCTAGCAAATTCGCTAGGTTCTTTATTGAATTTTTTCATACGTGAAGTGCATCTGAAAAAGACCATGCCCAATTCTCTTTCTCATTATTTTCGTATTCAGGTAAACTTTTATTTTAGCAACCAACAGCAAAAGGTTTTCATTTAATGTGTGACTAGTTTACTGTCAATAGTTTTCTACACTATTTTTACACGCTTTCTTCAATTGTTGAACAATTCTCACTACTGCGGCTGGGGTTACCCCAGGGATTCTCCTTGCACTTGCGACCTTAAAGAGCAAGAAGAGGTAATTGAATGACGAAGATCATAATTGAAGGTTTATGAATTCATATATAAAAAAAAATGCTTACAGTTTGAGGCTGAAAAGCTGTCAATTTCTCCCTATCCTCCGTGGAAAGATTGACGCTGCGAATGAAAATGAACAAAGAGTCAGTTTATCGATGGAAAATAGCATAGAATGCACACATTAGTTACGCTGCACGGAGAGAAATATTCAATAAAAATTACGTTCTAAATTCTTCTCCGTAATTCCGGAGCGAAATGTGGTTGTAGGAAATTTTACGGAATTTTTCCGGAGCGTTCCGTAATTTTTATCTGAATCTCCTGTGAAAAATTACGATACCGTCACTTAAATTTTCTGAGTCGATTCCATAATCGGTGAGTGAATTGTGAGTTCCGTAATTTTTACTGAACATTTCTCTCCGTGTGATTATGTAATTGTTGAAGGCAGAAGCCGCTCGTTAACGAGCTGCTTTCATAATTATTCAAATTCAATGTACATTGCTTTGACTATTTGAATAATTCCCTAAAATAGTGCTCTCACTTTTTATAATCAAATTTGCTGGGTATGACCATTTTTTCGTGTCTCTTCATTTCCTGAACCTCGCTCACCTGCTCCTTAATAGCATAGTCGTATGTAGCTTCAATCTATATAGAAGAGAAAGAAAAAAGACACAATAGACACCGTTGAATGAGTCATGAACTGAATTGTAATTCATTAATTTATATAAATCCATGCGAAAATACCTTTACTCTACAAGATAGACGTGGGTCGTCCCCAAGATGTCCAAATGTTTCCGGTAGAACTCGAACCAAATCATCGAAAGAAACATTTTCCTCAGTTCTATTAAGGAGCGCAAAGGCACTCCGAGTTTTCAAAACTTTGGTACTCTTTACACCTAGAAGATGACACCATTCGTCGGTGTTCTTTGTGATAGTTTTGAGTTCATGTAACGCATTTTCCAAGCGCTTCTGTAGATTTTCTGTCCGCTCCATTCTTTCCTGAGACACACAGCCGGTTTTGAAACCTTTATCGGTGAGTCTGAGATCGGCATTGTCAGCTCTGAGACTTAAACGGAATTCTGATCGACTCGTGAACATCCTATACGGTTCACTTGCCCCTCTCGAGGTCAGATCATCGATCAAAACACCGATGTAAGCTTCGGTACGATCAATAATCAATGGTGGTTTATTCAACACCTGAAATTAGATTTTCACATACAATATTCCAAAAGCTTTGACATTGTCAGGTCTTTCAAGTTTTTTGTTTCATTTCTTGATGGAAAGATAAGAAAATAGCATGACACAAACTTGGCGATTTGCGCCGAGGAAATTCTGCAGAAAATATTTTAATAGAATAAGTTGTATGGAAAAATTGAACCATATTGAATTTTTCCGTAGAATATATTTTATTTATGTCATTAGGACCGATAAACCGCGATTCTAACCTCGCTTCGCTCGGTTCGGTCGCGGTTTTCGGGCCCAATGATATAAAATATTGTATGTCACACGGCGATAAAAGTATTATCTGACGAATGTAGTTTTATAATCCGAGCCGAAGGCGATAAATTTATTGTCTGGCGAATGTGACTTTATAATCCGATCCGAAGGCGAGGATTATAATCACATTCGTCAGATAATACTTTTATCGCCGTGTGACATATAATATTTCATGTCATTGTGCCCGAAAACCGCGATCGAATCGAGCGAAGCGAGGTTAGAATCGTGGTTTATGGGTCCTAATGACATAAATAGAATATATTTTACGGAAAAATTCAATATAATTCAATTTTTCTATACAACTTATTCTACTAAATCGCCTTCGGCTCGGATTATAAAGCCAGAGTCGACAGATTAGTACATTAGAGTACAAGGGCACAAATTTCGTTTTCAACAAATGTGTGTACAGACCTCGCCTTCGGCTCGGCCTGTATACTACACATTCGTTGAAAACGAAATTTATTACCGAGTGCTCTATAATATTTTATGTCAAGTCGTGCAGAAGTCGAGTTTTGAGCAGGCTGCGCGAAGCGCAGCGTGCGATAAACTCGACTTATTGCACGGCGCGGCATAAAATACTTTTATCGCCTGATGACATAATCTACTATAAACATTTCAATCGAATCGGCCAAAAAGTAATAGAGAAAGTTCAATAGAAATCCAATAGAATTGTCTAGCGATTTCGCTAGGATTTTCTATTATTTTTTTGTGCCTCATAATTACGCGGTGACGAAAGGTATTTAGTGTGCGAATATCGTCCAAAAAGTTATAGGATCCGAGATAATTTCTGTATGATTCATATAATAGGTGAGTGAGAGAGTATTTCTCCCCGGGTTAAACTAATAGAATACTAATATAATTAAGAAAATCCGTAGAAAGTCGCAGCGTCACTGATTTCTCCAGTACCACTATTTTTGGCCATATGTGGCAAAAATTAGAAATCGAGAATTACATAAAATTCATTCATCAACATCTCAGTCATTCTAAATGGTGCCAAGATGCTCTTCATCACAAAAAGGACATGAATTTGTGTAGAATACTTGAGAATCAATCCTTTTGGATTAACCCCCTACGGATGGGGTTCTCTGTTACCAAGCGCAGCGTGCACTCAATACGGTGCGAATTCCATGATTTCTAATAAATGAAAAATTCTGAAACCGATATCTCATTGAAGCTACCATATAACGGATTTTAATTTTGTTTGTCTGGTCAATAGTGCGCCCAAGGTAATCAATATTTTCAAATTTGGTATCAGAAAGCCCTGAAAACGATAGTTGATCTTATGAAAAACCGCTGTGAATTTTTCTATATTTTTATAAATATTTTCCTTGGCAGCATAGACTTTCAAAAATTCTTATGATATTATCCCTATAAAGGAGCTGATAAAGTGACGATTCACTATTGCATACGAAAATTATTGACGTAATTAGTACTATTTCTCGAAAACCTGCTCTCAAAGAGTTGGAGAATCAAGCCAATATTTTTTTGTATTTTTAAATTCCTTTTTTATCAAGTTAAAAGTTTGATTTTTCCTTAAAATAGAGGTTTTTAAGGCTGCCTAAACGCCATTCAAAATCGACTGACTTTTTTCGAATTCCGTTAAGTGCTTATTTAACTATTTCACTATCATCTTGAGAAGAAAACATTATTTTCCTTTATTATGAATCCAAGAAAAATGCCAAAGAAAATTGTTGAAATTTGGCTCAGCAACAAGTGCTCGGATTACCCAGTTTTATGGTAGGGGCCATATACCTGAAATGTAAACGGTCAGTCATTTAGCTAGACCTCTCCTTGGACAGGACTCAACCTTTTATTACCCTCCATATAATACAGTTACCTTTCTATTTAGAACATGAATTTTTTCAATTTTTTTGGAATACCAATGCAAAATGTACTTGGTGAAATTAGTCATTTCATCACAATTCCAGCAAAGCTGAATTCAAATGACTTGATTTAAAGTGAGGTTATCCTATTCAAATTGCAAATTATTTCATCATTTGAAATCTATAAAAATTTCAAAAACAATGGAATTGAGAACATCAGTGATGATATGCTCCACTTAGCCGTTTCGCAACGTTTCGGAATACCAAAATTCGTACATGGGGGAATGGTTGAGACGTGATGAATCAAAAGCCCTGAAAACCGCGTGAACTACTTTCCCAATGACGATTAAAAAGTGGGAAAAATCATACGACATTTTCCGTCACTTAAAAATTGACTCGTTGGAGCCCCCAAGAGTCCTGTGGCTCCCAAAACCCTATAAAATCTATAAAAAAAAACAAATTTAATCAGCCTTGATGCGGCGACGGAGCAGTAACAATTCTGGTAGAAATATTTCACTTAATCGGTCCGGTTTTTCAACCCTAATAATAATTCGCAGAGTCGAATTTACGCTGGATAATTGCCGAATTAATAGTAGGCTACAAACAATTCAAATTATTTGGGAATAAAATTTGTCATTAGGCTCGCTTCGCTCGGTTAGATCGCGGTTTTTGGGCCCAATGACATAAAATATCGGATGTCACACGGTGATAAAAGTATTATCTGGCGAATGTGATAATAATCTTCGCCTTCGGCTCGGCTGATAAAGCCACCTTCGCCACATAATACTTTTATCGTCTAATGACATAATATACTATTCTTTCACCAAGAGCGATGACTTTTCTTACACATAAGAGTGATAGTATATATAATAGCGTTTAGCGAAATCTAATAGCTGGTAAGGAAATTGCGGATTCAACCAAGGATCTACAGACGAATCAAAATTTAAAGTCAGATTGAACTGTGAGTAAAAAAACTTTTGTGACATAAGAAAATTATATCCTTCAGATCATTCCACAGGTAGAAATTTAGTATCAATTCCGTTTCGTAAATCAAATACTTATGTTTTTGTAAACCTAACGATTCCAAATTTTACAATTAAATTGTAAAATCAGTATTGTATTGTATACTCTGAATTTCTTGGTCTTCGAAATATAATGAAATTGAATCCTACCTCTAATGTAAAATACCTGTCGAATTAATGCTAATTGGAAATCCAGTTGTCATTTTGAATAAACTAAGAGTATGAACCTAGCGTCGTCCAGGAAATTTAAATTTAAATAATTTTAGGTTCTCTTTTCAATTTAACGGTTGGAAAGATAGTCCTCCGACGCTAACAATATTCTCCGAACATATCAGCGACAAGAAACGCGAACATTTTCTACGTCGATCATTCCTCTATACAGCACATTTAATTTTAACGTATAGGGAATGTGGTCTTCCCCAGGTAAGAATTCAAAGGCTTGACGATGGGGCCAAGCTTGGGGGAACCTTGTTTCCCTGAGGCTCGACAATACGCGTATCTGTACAGGCCTGAACCAGTCTTTGCTTGTTGAGGCTGGGACATATCAGGCTGAGTGCAGGCTCAAGTGAGCCCAAACCCATTTAGCCTCAACAAACTAAGCTTATACTCAGGCTTGGTCGAGGCTTGATCCATTTAAGCTAAGTTAAGATCCCTTGGAATACCCTCGGGAAATCTTGGCTTTTTTCAGGCTGCTTAGCCCAACGGTCAAATCAGTATTGGCTTAGTAAGGATGACACATACCAAGCTGAACTCAGGCTAGGATAAGCCTCAGCGTACTGAGCCTACAGAGACTAAGCTTATACTCAGGTTCAGTAAAAGCTGAATCCAGTAACCCGAAGATAAGGATCGTTCATACCAGGCTGACCTCAAGCTTGAGTAAGCGTCTTGATTGACAAGGAACACTAGGTAGGTGTGTCGTCGTCGTTGTCCCCCCCTCCCCGATTTCGATGAACTTTATATTAGGCGTATAAATTAATTCTTGGCCTTTTTTCGACAATTCTGACATTTATGTATAAAAAAATGAATACAGATCTAATCTTGCAAATAATCATCGTCACTTTGCATGCATTTCTCCCGTATATCGGGCAATTTTCGGATTGCGGCTCGGAAAAAAGATGGTGGTTTTGACTGGATGAAGTCCTCATAGCTCTGTCGGACTTCTTAAAAAGATCGAAACTATGTATCCACCAGGTGATGTTGTAGCGCCCAAAAAAGGTGATAGTCAGAAGGCGCAAGGTCTGGAGAATACGCCGCATGTGGGAGAATTTCGCAGCCCAATGTGGGGATAACTTTCGGCGTTTCTTTTGCCGTGCGTGGCCGCGCGTTGTCCTGCAGCAAAATCACTTGCCTCGTAACACCACCAGTAAAAGGTCTCTTTTCGTCAATAGCATCACTCAATCTTACCAGTTGGTCCTGATAACGCTTAGCAGTGACGGTTTCCCCCTGTTCGAGTATCTTATAATAGATTACACCTTTGGAATCCCACCAAATAGACAACAACAATTTTTTCCCGTGAATGTTCGGTTTTGCAGTGCTCGTTGACGGCTCCCCCGGATAAACCCACGACTTTCGCTTCTTAGGATTGTCGTAAAATATCCACTTTTGATCCCCAGTCACAATTTTATGTAAAAAGTCTTTTTGTTTGAATCTGGTCAGTAGGCACATTGCAATTTCACAGCGTCGACTTTTGTTTGCTGAGGTAAGATGATGGCGCACCCAACGACCTTCCTCCTGTATCTTCCCAATTCTTTTTAAACGCACCGAAATAGCTGGTTGAGTCACTCAAAGAGTATCAGCAAGCTCCTTCTGTGTTTGACAGGGATTTTCATTGAATAAGTTGTCCAACTCCTCGTCC